CGGGATACAGCTTGAACTTCAGCAATGTGATCTGAACTTGTCTGAGCCTCACAGGAATCCGTTCAGGATTGCAAGACAAAAGAAAATTAACCCTACCCCAAAGTGACTTGTTTTCACACAGATTAGCTCTCTGAACTGGCTTTGCCAAGGCAATTGGAATGCCACATCCAGAGGAGTGCCCTCTCCTCTGGGGAGAGTGTGATCCTTCTTTAGGGGCTCACCAATTTAATGTGTTCTGCTAAGCAAGGCGAGATAAGCTCCTCCAGATCTTGATGGCTGAGTTGGACACACTCTACAGTGATGATGCAAGAGAGCTTCTTTCAGATCTCCTTGAGATTTTCATAATGAAAGGCTCCCTCTCAACACAGAATGTCATTAACCAAGCACAAATTACACCAGCTATCCCAGGACCCAAACAACTCTACCGAAGCCCTCGGGGACATGGCTTGTTAGGTTGCCACCTTGCTAGGAAACAGCTGAATGAGGGTAAAGGTCCTACAGCACTAGAAAGCACAAGCCGGCTGTTGCTCCAGAGGCGGACAAGTATGTGCCCAAGCCAAGAACTTGTAAGAACACCACAGCCTCAAGGCACACATTAAAGCCACAAAAAAAAAAAAAAAAAAAGTCTAACCCAGTTGTGAACATTCTCACTGCATTCCCTCAGCAGGACTAGCCTGAAAGTGGGATGTGGGAGATGGAATTTATGGTGGTAAGTGGGACTTTCCATTTGCTTTGTGGGCGTTTTGGAAAAGTCCCTGCTCTCAGGTCTATAACTGCCTGTCTAAAATCTTTCCGTTGTAGACCTGGTCAAACTAAGCACTTGTAGTAAATCACTCAACTATTTAATATTTTTCCTTGCAAATTGCTTGTAAACTTGTCTTGATTTCTGCAGATGTACTTTGAATTCAACGTATTCACCGAACAACTTCTGCTAGTGGGGTTCAGTGTAGGATCTGTTTTCCAGAATGATTATTTTATCTATTTACTCCTCCTAGTTTGAGTGTATGAGTGAATTCCTAAATGGGGAGGTATTATTTCTGCTCCTGTCCCAGAGGATTGCAAATTTATAAGCCAGAGAGACGACTAAGAAAAGAAAGAAATAACAAACCACATATAGTCTCTTTTACAACATGAATATGGATGATATTCATCCAGTGAACATTCTTTAAACATTACACCCATTTGTACGGAACATAACACCCATTCACAAATAGAAAAATCCAGAAATGCAAACCTAATAAAACACAGGCCCCATTTTGAATCAGATTCTCTGACAGATTTAGCTGTGGTGATGTGTGAGAGTTACTGATTTCAGCTCTCCACACACTTTCGCCTGGTTACTGCTGCTCAGGTGGGAGTGCTAGAGGGGATGTTGTCCTAGTTGCTCCTATTCAAGGTCAGGTACATTAGCTTAAATCACCAATAAAACAGGGTTGTGTTAAGATGCCAGATCATGAACTGCAGCAGCTGAGCCACATGGTTAAGCAGATTTAATGGCTCTTTTGCYACTGAAGAGTCCTCCTGTATGGCTCCCTCCTCCTCTACTCCGCTCTGTAAATCTCTGGAAAGGGAAGTGGTGAGAGACAGGGCTTATAACAGCATGAAGGAGTGCAGATCAGTCAGCCAGAGGATACCTATCAAAGCCATTAAGCTAATATAACTTGTAAACCTGTATTTTTTTAAAATTAAAAAGAGATAGGTATCTTTTCTTTCTTCTTTTCTTTTTTAATTTTCTTCTGTCCCAAATATGCTTTTCCACTCCTAGCTATCTCAGGATATACTCTCCTGTATCTTACCAGACTACTGGTCTACCTGCTTTGGTTTCTTGTCAATGGAGGTGCTTCATAGGGGAAGATGAAACTTTCACTTGAAAGTTATAGAGATATCATAGAATCATAGAATGTTTAAGGTTGGAAGGGACCTACAGAGGTCATCTAGTCCAACCCCGCTGCACATGCAGGGTCACCTAGAACACATGGCACTGGGCTGCATCCAAGCAGGTCTTGAAGATCTCYAAAGAAGGAGATTCCACAACCTCTCTGGGCATCCTGTTCTAGTGTTCTGTCTGGTATCTGGTAAGAAAAATACGAAAGTCCAAGTAAATTGTACTACAGATTTATCTTTTAATAGGTAAACCAATTTCCTTAATTCAAAAAAATTTAATTCAAGTTAAGGTTTTGCCTTTTGTCTTAGCACTTGTCTGACTGGTGTAGATCTGGTGAAACTGCTCTACTGCCGTGTGGGTTTTTTTCATTTCTGCATCATTTCCTTTAAGCATCTCTCTATGTGCAGTTTGAGGTTTTCTTAGCTTTCCTAGAAGTCAGAACTGTGAAAGAGAGTCCATTGAAACACACTGAGCAAGAGAATTTTTGTGAGGGAGGAAGTATTAATGTGAGCTTGTTCTTGCTGTTAAAAAGTGGCCCTAGCTCTCACTTGTGGACAATTGGCATATTATATTTTCTAATGCAAAATATCGCTTGCGTTCTGGTCACTTACTGTGCTAGTGCCTGTAGYGAGCTGGAAAGGGTATTTATTTTTATCCTGCCGTTGGCCTATGGGATCTGAAAGTACCTCTTTTAGCTTGCATAACTGTAAATATTGTTATTGGTCATAATATTTTCCTGACCTCTTCTCAATGCTGTCTGCAATATTCAACGTTCTGACCTGTTCCAGCAGACAGTAAATTTCACATGCTGACTCCATGCTGATTGAAGGAGTGGCTCCTGTTATAGAGACGTTTTAACTTTGCTCAGTGAGCTCTTGTTCTCCTTTTTTGGGATGAGCCAAAAAAGCAGGCGCTCAATTTTCCTTAAAGTCCTCTGGCTCTTTCCTATGCCAGGCTAAAGGCTCCAATCTTTTTAATTCTCTTGCTAGCTGTCAAAATTGCACATGTAAAAGTGGTATTAAAAGTGCTTGTAGGTGCTGTGCTACTGCTTTGGATGKAGAACCTGCTCTCCATAAACAAAAACTCTGATTTCTGTATTGTGCCACAGTTAATTGCCATGGCTGCTTGTGCAGCTTCATACAGAAGCTCTTTCTGGGCAGAGCCACATGTTGCCACCCCAGCATGGGCAGCGTGCAGTCCCACAGGGCTGCTCATAAACCCACAGCTGGAAACTCTCAGGAAGACACCTGCTCCATGGCCAGGGACTCAGCAGAGGCTTTGAAATGTGCCATCAACAGAAAGAATTTTTTCCTTWTACTGCTCATTTCTTCCCTCATCTCCCACTTCTCAAGTCAGTTTYCACCAAGACCCTCCACTTGTCTCAGCTCCATGGTAGTGTGTGATGCTCACTCCCTCCCCTGCCAGCACATGTGTGTCCTAGTTATAAGCATGCAGGCATCTGTGTGCGTTTGCCTGTATGCTACATTTGTGAAATCCCTCTMAAGTGCCACAAGGAAAACCTCCTTGGATGATTTTTCTTGTGGGATCCYGTGTAGAGGTGGAGAGAAACATCTCACACCTTCCAGTTCCAGAAACATATATATTCTGTTTTAATTTTGTAACTCGAGGATCTCCAGGGCTTATTCAGTTTTGCTGACTATCTTAACTTTTTACTGAAGATACTGAGGATCATTTTTGGCTCTTCATTTAAGCTCAGGATGGGTTGCAAAAGAAAACTCTGATTGCTGGTAAATGTAAAATCCATGTAAAAATGTGGATTTTTCAAAAGCTTATGAGCATGTTATACAGTCGAGTTGATTTTTTTCAYCTATGAAAACAGGATTACAAATCCAATATAGATTTAAAACTTTCTATTTTGTGGAAAGGTTTCAAATATGAGGAATTATCTGGCATTTATATTAAAGATTATTTCCTTGTCCTCTCTGCTTTCCATCTCCAGGTCCTGATGTACAGATTTCTATATATTTTCTCTTTTTAACTAATTCTAGGAAAGCCTCGCTTCTCTTTTTCTCCTTCCTGAACAGCAACCACTTTTCACCAACTGCCAAAGCTACCTATGTGTTTTCCTTGGTCACCCTATCCCTTAGCTGGACACAACTGTTCCAGGGTCTTAAAAAATGTGCCATGTACACGGCACATACCTCAGCTGAGCTAACCCTTTCTCCTTAGGATCTGTAGGATCAGGAAGCCTAGCTTTTTCCTTCTAACCCACTTACCCACCTCTGGGATAATTGTCCTGGTTATTTCCTAGGGCACAAATCTTTCTATTTTAGTTTCTTTGAAATGGGCCCTACTTTTGCAGCTGAAGACAGTTAAGACCATTATGAAGAGAGGAAAAATATCAGCTGCCAAGTTTGGATGGTGATGCTGACTTCCCCTTTGCCTTCTCCCCTTTTCCACTGTCTGCAGTGCAGATTTGGACTTGAACTTCTGAAGTCTGGCGGGTGCCTGGGATCTGAGGGTCTGATTCACCTCATCTCTAGCAATCTCTCTTTGCAAACCCTTGGTAGTTGCCCTTTCCTACAGCAAACGCTGAGTGCAAGAAACACCCTTTTCAAAAAACACAAGCACTCAGAAGAGGAACTCAGAGAAGTGAAAGAGCTTTATCAAGAAGTTTTGTTTCTCTATAAACCCTGCATAGGAAACCCTGGCCTCTGCATGCCCTCAGCGCTTGCTCTATTTATTTCTTCTCCTCTTCYCCAGCTTGGGAGAGCTTTTTGCCAAACAGAGAGGGGCTTTGTGMGATGAAGAGCAGCTCAGATTTTTTGTAGCTCGTGAAGTCTTTGCTGCCTCCTTCTGAGACCCTAGTGCTGACTCTTGCCCCTGCCGTCCTCCTTCTCCCTAAAATTACTCTCTTCTGAGTAATCCCCCTCTTCTTGCCCTATCCCACTCAGGGAAAGGCTTCTTATAGCTCCTGGCAGAAGAGGGCAGAGATCCCACCACTAGATTTTCTTCAAAGGGAGACAGTGGAAAGAAACAGCGCCGGGTTCTCCAGCGAAATCGCCCGCCAAAGCCGGGGCGCGAGCGCCCGGAGCCGTGGGGATCTTCCCTCCCGCCTCCCCCTCCCGCAGGCATTCCCCCAAGCGGGACTCACTTGGAGGTTGATGCTCTCGCCTTCTGAGGCCATCCTGGGCGCTCTTCCTCCGCGGACGGCGCGAGCGGCGGGGCCCTCTGCGCTCCGGGAGCCTGTCCTGCCGCGGCAAGCGCAGCTGCGGGAACAGACCCGTTATTCACGGGCCGGCCGCCCGCTTGGCACGGGCCGGGGGGCGCGAGCGGGGGCGGCACGGCCGGTCCTGCGCCGAGCGCGCCGCCCGGCCAACAAGCGTCCCTCTGAGGCCTGGCGTGACCGTTGCCTCYGTGACGCGGCCACGCTGCCTCGTCCAGCTGAGCCCCATGAGCTCACTTGGGCTGGGACCCACGGATGCGCCCAGGGTACCAGGACGTTCCTGGCAGGGGCTGAAGGAGCCGTCCCCGCTGCTCTTCTCTGCCCAGCACGCACCAGAGCGTTGTACCCTGCACATACASGGGAGAAAATAATGGCAGGAGCTGCACCCGCTTGCTGCTGCTCCTGCTTCAGCAGAGACGTTGCGGCTAGGAGAAAGTTTCCACTTTACTCTGTTTATAGACACATCTTATTTCTCTCCCCAGCCAAAATGTTCTTCCTTTCCCCTCCCCAGCTCTTTTTTTATGGCCCGTCCTGGCCTGAAGCAAATCTTGCTTTTCACTTATGCTGACAGAAAGCAAAATGACCCCCGAATGGAAATGCAAGCAGCCAGAATCAAGTCACAGTGCAGGAAAATAAGCTGGGCGGAATCCTTAGGCAATAAAAGTCTGTGTGGCTCTGTGTGTTGCAGAGAAATTCTGCTACTTTGTACTGCCTGCRAGCCAGGCTTGCCTGGCTTTTTGGAGAACAATTTCTGTAGTTACAGTAGTACAGAAAATTTATGGTAATTAATATATTCTGTTTAAATACTTTAGCCAAGGATACATCTAGTACTTCTGCCTTACAAAAGGTTTTGACACCTCTGTCCGTGGATGATGCTGTCTCACTGATGCTTCCCAGCCAAGTCCTCGTTCTGCAGCTTCRTTTCCAAGGGCTGATGATTTTGGCCTCCCCACTTTCCTGTCAAACATCTAGTATGTTTTATTCCTCAGCAGCGAGRTGTGTCTGGCGACTGGGCTGACACCACGCAGGAAATCGAGACTGGTGCACAGCTCATTTGCCCCTTAGGCCGTGGCTCCACAGCAGCACAAGCCAAAGCTGGTCAATGAAGTTGCAGCCTCACCCAACCTACCCCCCACCTCTGGCCTCTCTCCTTGCTCTTGCATCAATCACATAGGGCCTAATCCAGCCAAAAACTAACCTGAGACAAGGAAATGCACAGACACAGTCGCTACTGAGAAGGGCTTTTGCACCTCTGCAGTGGTCCTTCACCCCACAGCTTATGTCTGCACAATGCRTCAAACCTTCTAGTACTGAGGAGGCAATAGTTTCAAGAGATTCTTTCACTCTTCAGGCCCTTGGGTACTGGCTGCCCAGAGACATGGTAATACAGTGGTGATGACAACTCTTCTGATGAAAGGATAAGACAGAACCATTATGTGGACCAAATCTGCCCCCCGGCCAACTGCTAGACATCTGCTCTAAACAGCTTACCTCCTAGAACATGAAACAGAAGCTACACTGCCTGGATTCTGTATTTAATAATGCTTTTGTGAGCATTTCTTAGAATCTTAGATTCTTAGATTTACTGTAATCTTATTCTGAAAGAAAACAAGACAAAAAGATTTCTCTTAGATATAGTCACTGCTTGCTTAAGTTTCAGTGAGGTTGATTTTACAGTCATAACGAAAGCCACCTTTATGGCTCCTACACAGGAATGAAAATTGAGATCTCTGTGCCTTGTTATCACTGAAGTGATCATCATTTGAATCGTACCAGGGAAAGGGAGGAGCAAAGGCAGGTTACTCACCCCTGCTCTTCCACACTTGATGGCTTTTTTTTTTCCCTTAATATAAGGAGCATTTAAATTAAAATATAGCTATTTTCTGCAGCTGTTGACTAGACAGCCTGTTGGGAATATATGTTAGCTAACGGCTCTGTGTACGTATGTTGTTGCTGAGATGCTAATATAGATAATTACCTGGTTTAGTTTACTTTTCTTAGTACAGTCTATAAAAAGGTGCCATGGTTCATCAGTTTATAATCAAATATTGCTTATTAATGGGTATTTTATACTGAGTGGGTGTTGGCCTTGTTTGTCAAAGTCACTGTTGGGAGTTCCTGTTGTGCAGTCTGGCCAAAGTTTTTCTGTTCCTAGATGCACCATAAGCATCAAAACAGGTCCAAAATATCTTCTAGTGGTCAGATGGGAATGAAGTATCCCTCATTTTATTTAGTAGATAAACAAATATAACTAATGCAGCTATTTTACCGAAGACCGCATGATATATGACGATGTTCCTTTTAAAATTAGTTTTATTTAGTACTTTATCTAAATGCTATGTGAGATTTTTTTCTTATACACTCTCCAGAGAGGTATTGCAAAAAGAATATTCCTTCACAGTGTCCTCAGAATACCTACAGAAATCAGGCAAAACTTACAGTAATCCTTGTGTCCTTCTAGATGCTTAAATCAAGCCAGGCTCCCAATTCCCACTCCCAAGACAGCATGAAAGAGTCTTTCTGCAAAGTGTATTAGTAGTAATGGCTGTTTCAACCTCCTTTGGAGTGCCTAGAGCCAAGCACATTAGAATGAAACAATTTAAAATGATCGAATGTCTCTTGGAGATTGTTTGTATATGTCATATTGATAGCACTGCTACAGCCTAGAAATGTGAGAAGAGAGGGAAGTGAGTTTATTTTAACTGGAATTGTAATAACTTCCTAAGAATAGAAGGAATGCCTTMTTCTGTGAAGAAATTACTAACAGAAATGTATTTATTATTAAACCTGCTTACAAAGAAAACAGACTAATTTTTCAGACTATCTTTCCAGTAATTGTTCATTATGACGTAGGAAAGTGCATTTGCAATGGTCCAAAGATTAAGATAGAAAATGCAGCACAACTTCTGAAAGAGATTATGTGACATGAGTGGCAGCACTTGCTGGTTTTAGATTCGGTGACCCCAAACCTTCCTCTAGTCTGTGTTTATAAAACATGAAAGGAGAAGGAAGGAAGYATGAAGGAGAAGAAGGAAACTTCCAAAATGGCAGTTCTAATGGATGTTGCTTKGATTAGAGATCACAAGGAATCTTTTTAGTAATACCTAGTAGAGGTGGATGGGGAAGCAGCATATGGGGAGCAGCATTTCTTGACAGGAGGGTGAGGAGCATCTAGGTCATGAAAGACGTCATGAAAGAGGAAAAAGGTTTTTCCTTGCAAGATCAGCCCACGCCAGCTGAGTGTGGAGGAGAGGCTCTGTGAAGCAGCCACCCTCTTTTGAGAGGAGGGAGGATGGCAAAGCTGCTTGTTCCTGCCCCCATCCTGTTCCCTCCCTTATGCCAGCCAAGGAACTTGTGCAGCCACCCAAGAAACCCAGACAGAAGAACTAGGTCCAGCTGGAGAGAAAAAAAAAAAATGCCAGGCCATTTTTTCTCGTTGGGATCAGTTCCCTGACCTGCTTTTGCACATAACTGCACAAACACTTATCCTGGCAGTGGGGAGGGTGCCAGCCGGGACATGGAAAACGTGTTGGGGAGCAGAGAAGGGTGGGGATGAGCCGGTCCAAGCAGCATTGTTGCTGAATCTGCAACCCCAGCCTTGCGGTGCCAGTGCCACCATTGGGGTTGGCCTCTGCAAAGGGAGACGTGGGAAAGAAGGGATGAAATCCTCAGGCCTTGGCATGGGCCAGCGGAAAGGGTTAGTAGAAGAAAGGAGGTTGTGCTGTTTGGAGACTGATAGAAATGATGGACTTTTGCCCACCACCTTGGGGTATATTGTGGTACTCCAGAGGGGGCTATAACCAGGAGCACAAGAGCTTCTGTAGGGTAACTACACTTCTATCAGGGCAAATGACAGGGCAATCTTACTTCTTTACCTTTCCTATGGCTTGATTTTTGTTTTACAAAAGTGGTCTTAGTGGTCTTGATTTGTTCTCTTTCTGAGATTCCCTTTCTCCCCTCTGTACTTCTGGGCCACCTCTTGACTGTGAGCAGAAGGAAGAAGTGTATGCTACTGACCCCTTATAGATGGATTCACCTTATTTTCTGAGAGAACATTAAAAGAGCTCATCTTGTTTAGCTTTACAGAATGAAGCCCAAGGGGAATACTGCTGCCATCCATGTGTACACTAAGCAGAATCACCAGAGAGATGGAAACATTAGTGCAAGTAATTAATAAACTGGCCAAGAAAAAGTGGGTCAGAAATAAGAAGGTTCTTGGCTGCCTAAGCACTGAAGTTCCAGCGGAGCCAGCCAGGGAGGGCAGCAAGGACAAGGGATCAAACSAGACTTAGAAAGGGCTAAGTTTGTGGAGCAAAGGCAAAAGCAAAGACAAGTGATCAGGTAGCCAMAGGACCATTATTTGGTCACTTATTTAGGATTAGTAGTCTTTCATGTCTTTCAGTGAACGGTATGGTCCTAAACTCTGGTTGGCAAGACTTGCTTCTCCTTCTATAGCAAAGAACCCAGGAGAGCGTAGTTTAGTGTCTGGAAGAGTTATAATTTAAAAGAAGTCTCTGGGGATTCAGAAAGCAAAGATGCAGTTAAATTGGAGCAGGTATACTAAAATTCCAAAATCTGAAATGAGAATATGCGGACACTTACTTAGACAATGAATTGTTAAATTATATGAAAGCAAGACTACAAGGGATTTTATGGGGCCACCTAGTTCCTCCTCCTGCCTCAAGCAGTGGGTCAATGGTAGCTGTCTAGKTAGCACAGATACTGCTCCAGCCTGCTCTGAAAACATTTCAGTTGGAGGGGGTCCACCCACTTCACAAAGAAAACTRTTTTAGAACTTCAGTATCACCGTTTTTGCTGTTAGAAATGTTTTTGCCAATATCTAATCAAAAGCCTTCTTGATGCAATTTTAGCCTGTTATTCTTATCCTCTCCATGTGGGAGAAAAAGATTATTTCCTTCCTCCTTGCTGCAGCCATTTACATTTTTTAGGACTGTTATCATGTCTCTGTTCAGTCTTCTCTATATTTAAGAAAACAAAGATTC